CATGATCTTTCCACTATATAAACCATATGATTGGGTTTGTGGCCACCAAATTACATCTACTACAAATTATCAAGTACTATATAGTTTTCCTTGTTTTCCATCTTCTTGTGATCTTCTTCAAGATTTTACAAACTTAATGAAGTACTAGTCTTTCTGCTCTGAGATTTACAGCAATGGGTTTCCGTCTGCCTGCTGTAATTCCTGCGAAGAAGCTTCTTTGGCGATCTTTTTCAAATACAAACAGAGGAGCTTCAACTAATCTAGCGGATGTCCCAAAAGGGTATTTTGCAGTTTATGTTGGGGAGAGTAAAAAACAGCGATCCATCGTTCCTATATCATTCCTCAACCAGCCTGCATTTCAAGAGTTGCTAAGTGAGGCTGAAGAAGAATTCGGATTCGATCATCCAACAGGTGGTCTAACAATTCCCTGCAGACAAGATGCCTTCCTTGATCTCATTTCTCACTTGAATTCATTGTGAGGGGTGATGGAGTGCAATTACATGAACAATGTAATCTGTTACAATTTTGTAAAAGGGACAATTTCTACATTTTGTACATTTTTTTTAGGCTCGGGGAGGGAGAAATATTGTACTTTTAATTCGACTCATAGATTCTTTACAGTATGATGCTCTTGTGACCAACCAGCCATCTTTTTTCTTCTTCTTTTATTTGAACATCACCAACCAGCCGTCTTTCTCTCAAGTATATACTCAGGGGTCGTTTGTTACACAGGATTGGGTTGGACTGGCTTGGACTAAATTTAGTCCCATGTTTGTTTCATCTAACCCTAGTCTTAAATGGAATTGCTAATATCGGGCCCACCAAAAACACCTCCTTAGAAGGGGACTAATAAACCCATGTTGAAGGGAAAGATTAACTAGTCCAATGCTCACTAATGTATGACATTCATATATTATATTGTAAAATAATAACATATATTATTATTATTATTATTATTATAATATACCCATATATTACAATATTATATACACATATAGTATAATACACATGTATATGTATATAATATATGTAATATATGTATAATATATGTATATATGTGTATATACATATATAAATGTATATATATGCACACTATTAAAATATAAATATATAAACCTATCATAAATTAAGTAGACAATGAACATAAGAGAATAAACTGTATAAATGAAAAACTATGAGATAACTGGATTGAATTAAATTGAAAATACAAATTATTGAGAATAATTGTATACTCATAAATTAGAACTTGAGGGATTATTAAGATAACTCAGAAAATAATATAAAAATAACTCAGAAAATAATATTAATTGGAAATATTATTAACTGAGGAAGCTTTGACAAACAAAGTAAAAACTTACAGAAATCTTAGTTCAGTGAAAGCAAGCAATGCCACGCAGGACACTCACACTCCACTCTCACTCACAACTTTTGTAGTTGCCTCAGGTCTATAACTCTGAGAGAACTTTGAAAACTGAAAGAAAATACAATGTTCACTAAACAAAGCTTGAAGATACAAATGACTCGGGGCTTCTATTTAAAGACTTGG